TCAAGGTCCTCATAAAAAAGAAGACAATTAACAATCAACCGCTAGGGCCTCGTAAAATGGGGTAGTTTCTCGTCGCTGCGTTGCAAATTGGTCATCTCCATATCTGGCATATCTTTATCCCTTCTTCGAGGTGTGGTCTGCGGACGAGATGATGACTCTTTCACGGACGGTGTCTTTCTGTAAGAGCCTCTCGATGAGCAGCTGTATCCTTGGGGATTTCACGGTGTTACGAAAAATACGCTGTCGTAGAAAATATGGTACTTGTGCGGAAGGTTCGTGCGTGAGAAGGTCATGGACTCGGTACGGAGTATTGCCTGTAGCGCGTGTCCTCCTTATATCGTTCTGAACTTTCAGACTGGCATAGTCCGCTTTAGGAGGGACTTCGGTTTCTTCTTTGCCTATCGTAACCCTGGGTTAGACTGCAGGCCAAGAATGGTGGAATATCGCTCAAACCTTACCTGTCCCCCGGGAAAAGAGCTGGGCAACATGAAGCGTATGAAAGACCAGCAGGGAAAATGCCGTATGCAGAGTTGCCATGGTTATCTTCGACTGCCCCTCACAGTCAAGTTCCAGGTCGGCCACCTGCCGATAGGATAACACTGATACTAGTCGACAGCAGCGCATACGTTCAAGAGACCTCAAATTTCTGATCCTGCTCGACGATCAAAGGCACAATCACCAAGCGACGGATTTCGAATTTGCGAGGGGCTGCTCCGACCGCAGTGTCGTTCGTCCCGGACTGCACCTTCAACTAAAGGATCGTTCTGGCCGTTGTGACAACATCAGTGGACACATGGAACATTCGGGGCATTTCGAAGCAGGGAAGTAAATTGTATATGCTCGCTAGGCTCCAGCTCATCTAGGATGTAGCATACACCGACAGTGATTGGACACGGCTCCGGTTGGATGCCTTTGCGCATTCGCCATCGCATGCTTCAAAGCTGCTCATCACACGCGGACGATTGCTCGTGCACCGTTACACGCAACAGCGTACCAAAACAAAGCAATGTCAAATTGTTACGATGTGAGCGCTGTGGCAGTCGTCGCTGTTCAACCTGCCATGGTCAGCATTCGCAGGACCCCGTGAGGTTATCCAGCCCGGGGCATCTGTTGCGGCGGCGCACCGGATGTGCCCGTTTGAGAGTTCTCATGGAGCAGCGTGGCTGAACTCCACAACCGATTGAACTACCAACCAACAGATGGACGAGAGACCACAAGACCCGTGATTGTCCAAGCTGAGTGTCCAGACATCGGGCTGGAGAGAGAAGCTGAGACGTACCGATGGATGCCACTGCCATACATGGGATCGGTTGCGCGTAAAGACAAGTGTCTCGTCTTACAAGGCATGTTTG